TTTGCAGACAATCCCGTTTGCCGGGACTCGTAAAATCGTAAAATCCGTTGCATGTTTTGCCAAGGGCGTACAAATACTTTTCGTACGTTAGATAGACAATAGTGTACTGACAACTCAGGAAGCGACGGGCTTGCCAGATTTTAGCATCTACGTTTGTCACCGTTACCGTATCCCGTAATCCGAGCACATCTATCCCTTTGTACCGTCCACTGTCGTCGAGGATTTCCAGTGGACTCAAACCTAGCCACGACGGATGACTAAAGAGTTTGGCTATCTGGTGCACAGGGTCTGCCGCGGTGGATTCGAATAGCAGCATACTGTTGCACAACACGAGAAACGCCAAACCGTTTAAAACGCATCGAGCTGTCATATTTATTTTTTCGCTTATTGAATGGCCTACAAGAACGGACTCCGAACGAACTACTAAAAACCCAAAGATCCGGTTAGCTGTTTACTAGATGTGAAAAGTTGTACATGTCGTATAGGTATAGGCGCACGTCAACAGTTTATCAAACAGCGAACACAAACGATATTTGCTAAAACGAAAAGTGTATGCGGTATGTAATGTCAATAAGCATGTTTTCCGAGTAAATGGTTTTCGACAAAGCGATTTAAGAATATATTTATATGTACATACAATTTTTTTTTTTTGAGATTTATAAGACAACGTTATAGATATCGCCAATTCATGTGCAACTTTCACGTAGGTTAACCCTTTGGGATGCAGCATTTATCATGTTTGATGATTTCTTCATAAATTATACTCTGCCACGTCCCTTTGCTCTTTCTACATTTTTTAAGTACAAAACATTTGCAATCTAAAACCGGATGACCTATTTAAAACAAAAACCACTTGGAATTTAAAAGAAACAGCAAAAAACGAAGAGGTGTTGGACAGAGTAATGGTTAAAGTAATTTTTTAGCTTCGACGCGGGCTGTATTTTTAAAAGTATGCGTTTTTATTACTGTTTTATGGGCTCACGATATCTTTTGAATCAATAAACCGATTTCTTGGTGTAGCAACTCTATTGATTACAATTCATATCTAAAAGGTATTTCGTTGGGGCAAAAATTAAAAAAAATCACCCCTTCCCCTTCAAAATTGAGAAAAACACCGAAAAAATGTACATATTTTTTAACTTAAAATTAAGACGCTCTGTGACTTTTTGAAAAATTAGTTCCAAATTTCCATGGAACATTCTTTTATCATAGTTATACAGAGAAACACTGACAAACCCAACAAATATTATAAATCCTTTCCTCTAGAAGAGATAGAAATTGCTCATCTTTCTTCATTTGTCGAGTGGGCAATCACTGCACTTGTTTTTAAAAAGCTTTTTCATGACTGTAACCGTCAAGAGAAAAGTGATAAGAGTTTGGAGATAAGTGATAAGATATGTGATAAAACAAAAGCAATAACAGATAATATATCCAATGTTTTTTTGTACAATTTTAATACTAAACAAGTGACCATTTTGTGGCGAAACTACCCTTTCTTCAAAAATCAATGCTCGGGTAAATAAATTCTGATTTTTATATGACATTCTTTTTAGATGTTATTTTGTCTCTTTGAGATTATGCAAAATGTTGATACAGGCTATAACGGTAGAAGACTCATATACAATTGTAACTTGAACACAGCCAAAATAATAAAATCGGGTGAAAATATAGTAATCAAGTTTAAAAACTTATTATTGCAAAACAATATATTTTGAATTTGCCAGTCAGCAGTTTATTATGAATTTGTGAAATATATGTTTTTGGTTTAGTAATAGTTTAAACAATTTACATTTGTACATTTATATTTATTTACAATCTGTATTTATAACTGTATATTTCTGCAATTTGGATTGTTGTCATTGGATTTTTTCTGTGGAAAACAAACCTTATTAATTCATAGCTTAAATAGAATTAATTTTTATAATGTTACCTAGGTTATAAAAAACAATGTAAACTAATTGTGTTTTGTATTTTCATAAGTTCTTTAAGGAATGGTATTTTATAATATAAGAACCAGGGCCGGCGTAAGGGTAAGACGACTCAGGCGGTCACCTAGGGCGCCATTCTTAGGGGGCGCCGAAATTGCTTTTTACAAATTTACACATTTTTGTCAGTAATATTATGTTTTGAAAATATAAAATACTTATAATTTACCTAATACGGAAATATTAATAGTTATGGTTATTTCGTTTAGTGTAATATATTATTAACAATGTTTATCAAACTTAGTTCTTAATCATACACGAATTAACTATAAGAATATACCGCACATTATAAGACAAATATATAACATGTATAAATATAATAAATGACAGCCATACACTAGATAGAAACTCTTAATTAACTCACCAATCAACGCACTACATATCCCTCCACAATACTTAATTGACGAAGAAGCCACACCCGCTTCTTACCACATAAAACCGCCTGAAACAAGGCATTCGTCGTCCAGTCTTCGTACATAGCTTGACTTCTTTACAACTTTCTAGTTGAAGAAGTTAGGCCTTGTCCGATTGATCCTTCTTTTTAGTTTAAATTATATTTTATAAGTTTCTATCTAGTGTTTATGCAAATTATTTTATCAGCACAAAATCGAGAGTTGTTATTTATTTAATTTCTCTCTTTCCTTATATTTTATTTATTTTTCTTTTATTTAAATAATCGCAGTCTGGTTAAAAGCAACAATATATCGACAGTAGATGTCTTGGAAGTTTTAGCAGCCTTGAGTATTCTGTTGCCTTGAAAGCATTAGCAGTCTTGCGCATTAATACCTCGGAAGCTTTTACAGCCTTGTGTCGCAACAGAATATTGTGTGCCGTCTAATCAGAAAGCAGATTAATATAACTTATTAAAGTGTCTAGAGTCAACGATCTAGTGTACAGTACGGTTGAACGTGGTGATAATCGACTTATGTCGTAGCTGGGCGAATCGATACAGTCACTAGATTAGAGGGACTTTAGACGGCTGTACAGTCTTGACCCCTATGGACTTCGAGAGCCGTTAAGTCCTTGATAATACAGCTAAATATTATATCGTAAAAACTGATATATATATGATCTTAATTAATATAGGTAAATTTGCATAAATACACATAAATCAAATCGGTAAGAAACATCGTTACCTTATAAGGACGATAAGTGTAGAGTCATACGACAATACGTTATTTAATAGTGTTAAATTAAATCGGCGTATTAAAGATACTCTTCTGCATCGCTGGACCAGAACAAGGTAAGTGCAAAAATTTGATATAATAACAATATAAAAGTAATAATAGAAATTAATAGGGAGATAGGACTAACTAACAACATATGCATAAATCTCACATAACAAGTATTAAACTTGTGATCCACCAATCTTTCTAATAAAAAAAAATATCCTTTCTTCCACGCCGGTTCTACTACCTTTTTCTTATTATTACACTGAGTATCAATCATTTTGTGAAACCCTTGTGTACTCTATGCACATGTATAAAAACATCTAGATAATGCAATCGACAACGCCAATACACATGTCACTTAAATTTAAGTTATAGCTAACTTTTAACTTGTATATTATAATAGTGTGAAATAAGGAAATCTGTGTTTATAAATATAAATTTAATATAGATTGTATTATAAACTATTAACTATTAACTCCAGCCTTCCCCTTGTATCTGACTTTGTTTACACATAAACTGGAGTGATCTATTTTATATATTAGCTGGACATTAGTGATAAGTCTGGTGAGTGTATCATATCTAGATCCAAAAGAACCACACCGGTTATTTTAGACCCCAAAAAACTACTGCCGGCTTAATAATATATAAACATTTTATTCAGCATCGGCAAGGCGCCAGTCTACCATAGGTTGTCCCTGTTTGAATTTACTATTGTGTAGCTAAGTATAAACAAATACTAACAATTAAGCATTGGTAGTATACATGGAAAAAAAATGTCAACCACAAAATAAAAAATAGCTGTATATTTCTATAACAAATGGAACTTATCACAGATGTTATAAAAATAGCGTAGACAGTAGACACAACGCGGTCACACGGCGCGCGTAACAGTGTTTTTGTATACTATTATAATTTATAACTTATAAGGTTCTGTTCAAATAATAAGTGTCAGCTAAAATACGTTCGATGACATTATTTTCGACTTAAATATTTTTCGGCTATTATATTTTCGGTTAATATATGTTTTGGTTCTAAATTTTTTCGGAATTATTATTTTCGGCATATATATATACATGATAACTAATACACAGATATGAAAATATATAATACAAAATTAAATAATATTTAACTATAATTTATTATTGTGTTATTGCCTATTGGAAGTTGTAAAGTATTTAAGTAAATGTGTTTAATTTTATTGTCGGGTATCGAATAGTTTCGTATGAGGTATTCACGATGTATTGTTTTAAATAGATAGGTATAATACATCGGTATTAAATAATTTAAAAAAAAGTATAATTTCATTGAAATTTGATCAATGAACATTCTGCTTTACTTATTATAAAACGTGTGAGTATGTTTTGAAAAACATTTTTTTTTACAAACTCAAGAGACAATTTATTGTAGGTAAATTATCACTATAATAGAATATTGTAAATATTGTTTCATATACTTTCCGTTTTTTTTTATATAAATTTCAATAATAGAAACTGATTTGATTATAACTTAAATAAAAAAACTCAAAACAGGAGACAGGTCACACAGTGAATTCAAAATAGTTCAAGCCTTATTGCATTAATTATGAAATGTACAAGTTTTCCCCTTTAAATAAACAATACTAGCCGCACAACATACACGAATAATAATCGTGCATTTTTTATAAATATTGTATATGTTGGTACCCCTTCGAGTGGCTGCTTGTCGAGTGGCACCGTGTCGATTTTCGGTGGTTGTTTGTCGAGTGGCTCTTTGAGGTGTAACCCTACAGCCTGCCATCGCGGCCGCCGCAGTTATCACTTACTGTACAAGCAAACACATTCTTATCAAGTAGGTTGTATACAGAGTAGACTGTCAACATCATGGTGGATATATCATCTTTTTTTTAAAACTCTTAATATTATGTCGTGTGTTTACATATAAAAAAAGTTTAAATTGCATAAAGTGTGTGATTAAAGATTTTATACCTGACGTTTTAGGTTTAAGGCTAGGAGCTCCGACCAAGGGTTTCGTAGCCGTATATCAGTAAGTCGTGAGTAACATTTTGGTTAATTATTATCATTTTATTTGTTCTAATGAATGGATTAGTTTTCTACATAGTATACAAGTTCGATAGTGATTTTTATTACGGTCTAAACGATTCATGCGTACAACAATTATAGACTCGTAGAGTGAGATTCGCTATCAACGGCTGTAGTTACGATAACTCTAGTCACTACAGCCATTCGCCACAGTAGATGCCACTTTTTTCTTATATAAATTGGTCTCATTATTAAAAAACACTTTTTCTTATGTTTGGTAAATTTGCACCCTAACTACTGAACTAATTAAGAAAAGTTTTGTGTGTTATTCAATTACTTGCATTTGATAACATGTACGACCAGAGTGAGCCATTCCAAATGGAGATATTTATTAAAATATGAGAATAAGTAATTCCAGAACCGCACAAAGAAAATGTAATGCCTTGTTTATGTATGCCAGACAATTTACAAAAAAATTAGTAGTTGGATAATGGCATTAGCTACGCAATTTTGTTTCTTTTATTTTATAAACCATTGATAATACATTGTTAGCTATTTTATTGTTAACCATGAGTTCTATTTAAAATTAGTATTAATACTATTTGAATAATACACTTTTTATATTAATATATATCATCTGTAAGCAACCTATATTGAGATATCTTTTTTCTAAATTAGTCAACTTCCCAGGTTATTATATCGTAGTTTGCGCCAATAATAACAGTCGTATATCTCGTCATCTAAACAAACTAGAAATAAATTACTTTTAAAATGTCATGAAACATAAATTTGAATAAAATTTAAATGTTCATTTTGCTCTCCCTGAGAAAATATGGAAAAAGACATTGTTTAATAGGGCAGTCGATATTATGACGAGAAATATAACATCAATTAATGCAATGGCAAAAGCCATTTACCGTTAATCAACAATGGTTTGATTAAAGTTATTATTAATGTTTGTATGTTAACAAGTATATTTTTTTCTTAACAAATATAATCTACGTTTGCCAGAAAAAAATAAAAACTTTTATACATATTTATTATTTAAGAGTAGATGTAAATGGAATTTGAAATTTAATTTTTGAATGAAAATAGTTACGGTTTTGTTTGTTTTATTTATTTGTGTTAGTCCTTGTATTTTAATTTTTTAATGAGTTTAAAGTCGGCCTATAGTTTATTTTTGAGAGATAAATCATGTTTTTTTGTTCATATTTTATTAAATCTTATTTATTTTTTATAGTTTTTTTTAGTGAGGAACCACCCAGAATTGAAACTAAAATGGACAATTATATCCAGACAACCAAGATAAAAATAGAGGACGAAAATAAACAGTCTATAGAGCAGTTTACCAAAGACTCTGAGAAAACAACCGATGGAGATGCGTCTAAGTAATATTAGTTTTAAATTAAATATTTTAAATACATTTAAAAAATAATGTCATAAATATTTGAATATGATTTGAATGCTATCGAAAATGTATCAGAACAATAATAAATATATAATAATTTTAATTACATTTCAAAAATAATATGTAGTATTTTAAATATTATCTGTATATATCTGTTTACAAAACGGCAACGTTTAATCTGACTTTGTAATACCGAATGTGTTATTATCCATAAAGTTAAAAAAATAAGTAGTTATATCTTTAAAATAGGTTTGCTTACAATAAAATATTTTTAAATACATCACAGTAATAGTAATATTTGTTTAAAAAAAAACCCCACTAACTTTTAAGCACCCGGCTGAAGCTAAAAGTCTTACGTTTCAAATTTAGATTGACTTTTAATTGAATAACAGATATGTTTATTGTATGTTCGAGACACATAGAGCATTTTAATTAAATCTAATTTGTACAAAAGCTTTTAACAAATATTTTTTAATTATTTTTTTGTTTTTTGTTTTTAGTGACATAAGTACGTGCAACAAAACCATAGTTAAGGTCGAAGTGGACATTTTGGGTGGTAATCGTTTTGAGTCTGTATTTGAATATGAAGAAAATGATCTTTCTGGTACGCCAACGACAAATGACGATTTGGACGAAATATGTACATTTGTCTGTGACATATGTAAAATGTCATTCGCTAGCAAAAAGAAAGTGACACGACACATTACTCAGACCCATGATGATCACTCGACAACCTGGAACAGCATTAGAAAACAAGATGTCAATAATAAACTCAGGTAAAGCAAATTATTATTTAATGTTTATAGTTGTCAATCTTATTGTTGTTTAGATAAAAGCGCAATATCGTTCTTATTATTAATTCAGTCACATATTGTTCAAAAAGACACTGTCTAATTCGAATCATAACTCTTGTATAATTTTGAACTAGTAGTTATAACTTTACGAGACACATAAAACATTTTAGATTAATTTAATTATTTACAAAAGCTGCATGATTCTTAACAGATATTTTTAAATACTTTTTTTCAGCTTTAAAATTAATTTTGTTTTTAGTGACATAAGTACGTGCAACAAAACCACAGTGAAAGTTGAAGTGGACATCTTGAGTGGACATCGTTTTGAATCTGTAATTGAAATTGAAGAAAATGATCTTTCTGGTACGCCAACGACAAATCACGATTTGGACGAAATATGTACATTTGTCTGTGACGTATGTAAAATGTCATTCGCTACCAAAAAGAAAGTGACACGACACATTACTCTGGCGCATAGTGATCACTCGACATCCCGGAATAGCATTAGAAAACAAGTTATCAAAAACAAATCCAGGTAAAGGCAATTATTATTTTTTGTATACAGTTGTCAATCTTATTGTTTGATGAAAGCGCGATACCGTTGTTATTATTAAATTAGTCACAATTCGATTAAGAACATACTGTCTAATTCGCATCTAAACACTTATATAATTTTAAACTAGTAGTTATAACTTTAAGGTGTGCATTATTTTCGAAATTAACGGTAAATAATGAACAAATTGTAATTTGTAAAATAGAGGGGTAATAATCAAATAAGTTATTTTTTAAAATAAATATGTCACTTTATGCGTTTAAACCCTAAAGTAAAAAATTTAAGACGACAGTTTCAGTTCAGTGGGTAACGCAAGTTTGTGAACGCATAGGCGCATATATCAACCCTCAGACGCAAAATTAGCACTCCTAAAAATTCAAGCGCCAATCCTTGATTTGTACGCATAAAATTGTAATAATGTTCATACTCTGTTGAAATTTGTTATTTAAGATTTTTTTTTTTTAATGTTTTATATTATATCAAATAGTTTGAAAATTGAAGGTAAGAATTATTTATTCATTAGTCAGGTATACATAGTTATAACACCCCCTTAAATGTAGGTCTAGTTGCGCCTATGTGTGAATGTAAGTTCGCAAGTCTTTAACACATAAAGGATGGGGTGATATCACCTTGTAGATTTTTAAACTGTATGGATTATTAGTCAAATTTACTAGGTGATCGTTTTGCACAATCAGTACGTTTACTTAGTTAAAATAGAATGTATAATAATAATAATTTATAAATTGTGTGATGAATAATTTGTTTTTAAAACATTATTAATTATTGCTTGATAATTGTTGTAGTGTTAATGGTGCAAGTAATGAAGCAAAGAATACAATCGAAAGTTCTTCTACAAAATCTATCCTCACAAAACACCAAAGCGTACACTCTGGAACAATGCCCTATAAATGTGCAGTGTGCTTAAAGTCATATGCCTTTAAATGCAGCCTTACAAACCATAAACGCGTGCATACACGTGAAAATTCTTTCAAATGTGATGTATGCCTTAAGTCATTTTCTCGAAAGAACAAACTCTCTGTTCACAAACGCGTGCACACTGCTGAAAAGCCCTATAAATGTGATGTATGTCTAAAGTCATTTTCTGTTAAATCGAGCCTCACAAAACATGAACGCGTGCACATTGGTGAAAAGTCCTACAAATGTGATGTATGCCTAAAGTTATTTTCTGAAAAATCGAGCCTCACAAAACATGAACGGGTGCACACTGGTGAAAAGTCCTACAAATGTGATGTATGCCTAAAGTTATTTTCTGAAAAATGCGATCTCACAAAACATGAACGCGTGCATACAGGTAAAAAGACGTACAAATGTGCCATTTGTATAAAATCATTTTCTCAAAATGCACACCTCACAATACACAAACGCTTGCACACTGGTGAAAAGCCCTACGAATGTGATGTATGCCTAAAGTCATTTTCTGCTAAATCGAACCTCACAAGTCATGAACGAGTTCACACTGGTGAGAAGCTCTACAAATGTGATGTATGCCTAAACTCATTTTCTGTTAAATCGACCCTCACAAGTCATAAACGCGTGCACACTGGTGAGAAGCCCTACAATTGTGCAGTGTGCCTAAAGTCATTTACTCGAAAATCGTACCTCACAATACATCAACGCGTGCACACTGGAGAAAAGCCCTACAATTGTGCAGTGTGCTTAAGGTCATTTTCTCATAAATTGAGCCTCACAATACACAAACGCGTGCACACTGGTGAAAAGCCCTACAATTGTGCAGTGTGCTTAAAGTCATTTATTCGAAAAGAGCACCTCACAAGACATCAACGCATACACACTGGTGAAAAGCCCTACAATTGTGCAGTTTGCTTAAAGTCATTTTCTAATAGATCGAGCCTAATAAAACATGAACGCGTGCACACTGGTAAGAAGCCCTACAATTGTGCAGTTTGCCTAAAGTCATTTACTCGAAAATCGTACCTCACAATACATCAACGCGTGCACACTGGAGAAAAGCCCTACAATTGTGCAGTGTGCTTAAGGTCATTTTCTCATAAATTGAGCCTCACAATACACAAACGCGCGCACACTGGTGAAAAGCCCTACAATTGTGCAGTGTGCCTAAAGTCATTTACTCGAAAATCGTACCTCACAATACATCAACGCGTGCACACTGGTGAAAAGTCCTACAAATGTGATGTATGCCTAAAGTTATTTTCTGAAAAATCGAGCCTCACAAAACATGAACGCGTGCACACTGGTGAAAAGTCCTACAAATGTGATGTATGCCTAAAGTTATTTTCTGAAAAATGCGATCTCACAAAACATGAACGCGTGCATACAGGTAAAAAGACGTACAACTGTGCCATTTGTATAAAATCATTTTCTCAAAATGCACACCTCACAATACACAAACGCCTGCACACTGGTGAAAAGCCCTACGAATGTGATGTATGCCTAAAATCATTTTCTGCTAAATCGAACCTCACAAGTCATGAACGCGTTCACACTGGTGAGAAGCTCTACAAATGTGATGTATGCCTAAACTCATTTTCTGTTAAATCGAGCCTCACAAGTCATAAACGCGTGCACACTGGTGAGAAGCCCTACAATTGTGCAGTGTGCCTAAAGTCATTTACTCGAAAATCGTACCTCACAATACATCAACGCGTGCACACTGGAGAAAAGCCCTACAATTGTGCAGTGTGCTTAAGGTCATTTTCTCATAAATTGAGCCTCACAATACACAAACGCGCGCACACTGGTGAAAAGCCCTACAATTGTGCAGTGTGCTTAAAGTCATTTATTCAAAAAGAGCACCTCACAAGACATCAACGCGTGCACACTGGTGAAAAGTCCTACAAATGTGATGTATGCCTAAAGTTATTTTCTGAAAAATCGAGCCTCACAAAACATGAACGCGTGCACACTGGTGAGAAGCCCTACAAATGTGATGTATGCCTAAAGTTATTTTCTGCTAAATCGACCCTCACAATACATGAACGCGTTCACACTGGTGAAAAGCCTTACAAATGAGATGTTCTGCTCAAGATCTTTTTCTCAACACTTGAACTTCACAACACACAAACGCGTGCATGCTGGCGAAAATCACTGCAAGTGACATTATTTATGTTTCAATTATATTCGTCAACATTTAATTAGGGTATTATATTGTTTTATATACTTTTAATTTTTTTTCTAAGTTTAAATACTAAAAACCTATTTAAGTATAACTTAAATAAAAATGTATTTTTAAATACTACATTCGAAAATAGTTCTACAACATACTTAAATATATTATATCAGTATTCTGTACAACTTTGTTAGTGGTAATACATCAAGTTATTAAGTTATTAGGTAGGTATACCTGTTATTGAAAATTCTTGACAGATGTGCATCTAACTTTAAACAAATTTACTAGGTATTGTAAAATCAATACCTTTTTTGTTTCTTTTTCAAGCTACAACTAGCTAACATATATTAAATATAAAGAAATCACAAAGTTTAATAATAATAAAAAAAAGAATAATAATTTCATTGATTTTTAAAATGGATTGTTTTTGTTATATGGGATGTTATTCGATTTTTAGGCTAACTTAATGTGTAATAATGGACCCAAAATCTAAAATAGCTTTGAAATACTAAATGAGTTAGTTGCAGTGAATGGTGATTAATTGGGTCTTGATTTAAAATGTGTTTTTTTTAGTGATAGGAAAATATTGTTTAAATTAATTTGGGAGGGGTGGCTTTTTTAATTAAAATATTGGGTATTGATGAAAGTTGGTTTTTATAAATTTTATAAACACTCACCAACTTTACATAAATATACATATGTTACGTCTATTTTACATTACTAATAATAATGTATCAATAGATATAACATTATTAACAGTGGTGTAGATTTAAGAAGACGGACCCCGCGGTTTTGTGTAATAAATAGGTTTCACCCCGTGTTATTATAATCAAAGTTATACACACTGATGAAAAGCCTTAAAATAAGATGTTCCAGATCTTTTTCTCAACACTCGAACTTCACAACACACAAACGCGTGCATGCTGGCGAAAATCACTACAAGTGACAATATCTAAGACTCAATTATATTCGTAAAATTCAATTGGGTTATTATATTCTATAAACAATTACAATTTTTTTTATAAGGCCTATATAAAATGTATTTTTATATGTTATAAATTAACTAAATAAGTAATGCGTATTATTATTTGTAATAATTTTATTTGTATGTCAGCTGGTGACTTAAATAATTAATTATGTTTGCTTGACATATTCTATATTGTTATTAAAATTTAGAATACTTGCATTTATTACGTTGTTACATGTTTTTTAAAAGAACAGTATTTGTATAAAATACCAAAAGGTGTCGCGCTAATACACGTTATCCAACTATTTTCCATCTCATTATTTTTTGTTCACTTATTTCCAGTTAGGTATTTAGCTGAAAGGCTATTGGTTTTATAAAGTTGTGAGCATTTTTTTTTTTTGTGTACACTAGCTTTTATAATACTGGACTAATTCCTTTAATTAGTAACTTTACAAAGCATAAATTTTATCTAATTTTTAATTTGGGTGAATTAAAGTTAGAAAAATCTACTTCTTCACCCTTAAAATTTGTAAAAAAATATAAAAACACGGCTAAGATCTTTAATATCGCATAATATAGCCTCTATTTTTGTACAAAACATGTGTTTCTATTTCCAATAGAATGCTTCTAAGAGCAAACCAATTTAAAATGTTGATAAAAAGAACTTGTTGCCATTGCCGATATTTTAAATTAAATATAATTTTAGTGCATAATAGAAAAAAAGTATGTATATATAGTAGGTAAATCTACGAACATAGTTAAAATATCATATTAAAAACAGGGTTAATGCACGCAGGTACACGTCATATGCGACAAGTATAGTTTGACAAAATGAAGGGTCCAAAATATAATAAGTATTGATAATTGTTTTATTGTTTGTGTTTCTGATCGTTTGAATTTGTACCATATTTTCCAAAAATATGGCGAATGCAAATGTTGTATAAAAACCAATAACATTATTTAAAATTAATGTTTTGTTACCTACGTATATATATCTAGTTCAGACATATTTTTTATTGTGTTCACAATGTAATAATAAATGTAGATTCAACTAAAATTGAAAGATTCCAAATGTCTATTTGAACAATGGAAAAATATGTAATTGCAAACTTACACATAATTATATACGTACATGTTGTACATCGTCACATTGTGGATAAATAATTTTATTAAATTTGCTTCTAAAAAACCAATTTTGGCTATGTTTATTTTTTACACATGTTATAGGTATGTTTGATGCAGTTCCTTGAGTTTAATTATTACCATTTTAAGTGAAGTATATTAATACAACATGTATTATAACTTTTAGCAGAAATGTTTGTGTTTAAAAATTTGCAAAATTAAAATTGGGATCTTATCGTTAGAAACGCATAGAAAACAAACACCTAAAATTGTATAGAAGAGAAAAAAAATAAGAAAAATATCTAATTTTTGGATACAATTCTTTCGACTGTTTTGATTACCATGGTCGTTTTTACTACAGATAAATTATTTAATAATCCATTAATTCACAATTCTTAGAGGAGTAGAATTTTTTTTTTTTATGAGTACTGAGTAGTACAGTAGAAGAACTATTTTGAAAAGCTATAGCCTATGTATCATAAAAAAAAAAAAATACTAACGAACAATAAACAATTGAATATTTTACTTTAAAACGTATCTACCTTCTGAACCACTCGATGGTTAAAATCACACTCTATGGTAGCAAACTACAAGTTTCTAATTAAGGGTAACGTAACTGACACCACTATGGTTTTCACCCTCTCGACTGTTGTTTACAGCTTAAGAAAATATCATATTTTACTAACTATTTATGTAACGACCCTATCCAAAGAACCACGCGTTTAAGTAACTCGGACCCCATGTCTTCTAGATTTTTAGCCCCAGTGAAGTGTAAAATAGATCACACAATGTTTTGTATTTGTTTTTAATTTGATAATATGTATTTTTGTATTATTCATTTGCTTGCCTCTCGCTAATTTTAATTGTATACTATTGTTAATGTTTGTTACATGTATAGTTTTGTTGTTGTTCTTTTTTATTTACCAACACTTATGTATTTTACTTATAAATTGCCATCAGACGTAGAAATCAGTAAATAAATACATTTTTATTACACTGATGAGGATAGGGGCACTATCAAATAAAACCCCTTAAGTATGGATTTTCTCATTAGAATGTTTTCCTTTTTTCCTAAAATCGTTTTATAATATTAAAATACAGTTTTTGTTTTATTATATTATTAACTTATTAAATGCACAAAGTCTACAAGTAAAATACCATATTTATATGGTGTACTAAGATTATATTTTACCGAAAATAAGTTGTTTTTTAAAACGTGTTCGGTATTGTTGTATTATTTATGTTATATGCTAAGAAATTATGTTATTACGGTTTTACAAAAGTAATTTTTTTCCAACATGTACATTATTTAATATAATTGTTTTGTATCTGTGTCCACGATAACTATCAACTTGAAATTCCTAAGCAGGATTTTATACCAATTTAAAACATTTTGTTTTTTGTAGCTCACACGCAGAGCTTTTCTAGGTAGAATTTGCGTTTAAACCGTTTTTTTTGTTTCGTTATTTGTTCTTGGCAATTCTGTACATGATAATAGTTTAGAAAAACGTACATACTTAAAAACACCGTACGAAGGCTTGTAAATGGTGCCAAACTTTATATTATGTTACTATAAACCACACTAGCGTTATGAAGAAAACACGATTAAACTTGTTGTAGATAATATGTATATTGTATAAATATCCATAAATGATACTAATTATAGTAAAATCAAATAGTTGGAATAGATTAGATTATAAAAAACAAATTTATATATTTGGAGAATATTGTTTTTATTGGTAGACAGTTTTAACAGACATAATACAATTTATATGATACGCAACGAAATATGTCATTTGTAATGTATTGTAATTAGAGAAATTTTAATAAGCACATGTATTTTTGGAATGTGACACAGATTCTGGATACTTCACCTTTGTTGGTAAATTTAACTATTGTTGGTTTCCAGCTAAAAAAAAAATAATAATAAAAGTAATTTATTTTTAATTTGCTTACACATGCCCCAAAAATATTTTAAAAAATCGATTATTTAAGTTAGGCTCCTTTATAAATGTATTATTTAATTTTTTTATCATTTGTATGCTACTGTAATATATATAATTTAAATTTGTAACATGTAACACTCTACTACTAACACAAGCTCTGCTTAAAGGTAGTAGATATAACAATGTATTTTGTGTTTTCTTTAATAAAAAAAAAAAAAAATTATCTATAAGGTGTTTCCATTTTTAAATTAATCGTAGGGTTTACTAGTATCCGTTGTTTTAATTTCGAAACAATTGACATTTTAAATAACAAACATTAATGTATAAAATAATCGTTTATAAAAAAAATGTAAATATAATAATTTAACATTTTCTGCTTTATTAAAAATCATTTTAAAACTGCTAGTATCTTTGAAAAACGAATGATAAAATTGCATATTGAATTACACTTTTATAACCTATATAAGTTTTATTAAAGTCAAAAACTTACCTGGTGGATTTTGCGGTGGATTTCGTGGTGGAATTGGTGCTCCTTGTATAGGTACTGGGTCAGCTGGTATGTACGGTGGTACTGGTACTGGAGCTGAAACACAGACAAAATAACTTAAATACTTGTTTTTTCCATTTTTAGTTGTTTATCTAAAGCGTTTAATTTTGTTAGCCACAAATTATAATTTTTAAACATTTTTTCAACTTGATACAATTTTATGTAATAATATGCTTACGGACATGATAAACTTATTTTTATTATAAACAATGTAATGCATTAGTAACATTTTATACATATTTTCAGCTTTTATGAAAATACTTAAAAAACTGCTAGAATCTTCACAATACATAAAAACTGATATTATCATCCAACTAACAGTAATTTGAAAAATGAATAATAAAATCGTATATTAAATTTCACTTTTAAAATTTATAAAAGTCATAACAGTCTCAAAAACTTACGGAAACCACGTGGTGGGTTAGCTTCAGGATTAACGTTCAAACATTTATCATAACACAAGATACGCTTAGGTGAAAAACATTTAATCAGGTGTTGTGACTGGTCTTTGTACAAAATTTGTATTTGCTATAAAAAAAGTTGGACGGGCCGCAATTCACCGGTCTGCGACATTGTAAATATTTCTAGTCCTTTATGATACTAAATTAAGTGTAGGTTTTGTATTTTACGGTTTCAGTTAAACCTATACATTTTAGTTTTTACACCACTAGTGTGAAAAATATTATTCATATGCTATTCACTTTGCTGCAAAAATTAAATAAATAAGTTGCTATAACAATAAAAAAAGTCTAGCTGTATTTTATTCTAGGTTATAGAACCAAAAACAATTGTGTGTTGCTTACAAGTTTTATTCGTAACAATAGTACACGAAATGTATTTGACAAACAATTATTATAATAACACTACATAAACAATGAACAATGTACTCCCCTCACCTACCAACAAAGACAAACATTTTCAAATCTTGTGCAGCACATATCTCTCTATATAACATAAGCAGCAAACGTACTGTTGTTCTAGTATAGTCTTCTACAATCTTTGTGTTTTACTTAAACTGTAAATCCAAAAATCAATATTTTATTTGGCGTTTTAAATTTTCTATCTTTAATATACCATTGGATTATATCTAATTGAAAAATGAAATTAAATAGCATATATTTGTTTTTAACAACATTGTTTTGCGTTATCATTTTAGCGTATGCAGGTATTTCAGGTCGTCCTGAACATACGCAATCCAATACCCGTAAGTTTTTGAGACTGCTATAACTTAAAAAAAATTTCAAAAGTAAAATTAAATATACTTTTTTTTTATTCGTTTTTAAAATGTCCGTAAGTTGGATGATAATATCAGTTTTTGTGCTTTGCAAAGATACCACGAGTTTTAATATTAATTTCAATAAATCTGAAAATGTGTATAAAATGTTACTAATGTATTACATTGTTGATAATAAAAATAAGTTTATCATGTTCATAAGCATATTATTACATAGAATTGTATTTCTAGTTGAAAAATTGTTTAAAAAATATAATTTGTGGCTAACAAATTTAAACGCTTTAGATAAACAACTAAAAATGGAAAAACAAGTATTTAAGTTATTTTGTCTGTGTTTCAGCTCCAGCTCCACCATTACGAATGGGACACCCACCACTTCCGGGTGGTAAGTTTTTGAGACTTTAATAAAACCTTTTAGCTGTATTCAACTAAAATAAATACAATAACGGGCTTAAAATGTTTTAAAAATATATATGAAACCCTAGGAGCATAATGATAAAAAAGGCTTGCATTGTTATTAAACAAAAATTAACACTGCAATATCAGTAAATTAAATATTATTACGGACACTGTAGTCATTGTTAACAAACAACTACTAGTGCTTTATAATACTAAACTAACTGTAGGTTTTGAATTTAACTTAGTCAGTGTAGCCTATACATTTAACAACACTAGCGTGAAAAGTACTACTCGTATGTTATTCACTTTGATGCAAAACTTAAATAAATAAGTTGCTTAAAAAATTAAAAAATTTTGTTTAAAAAATATTATTTTTTAGCTAACAAATTTAAACACTTTAGACCAACAACTAAAAATGATTATACCAATATAGATACTTGAAAATTAAAAAATAAATTAAAAAAACAAGTATTTGAGTTATTTACTTGGTGTTTCAGTAATAGCACATATAAATCCACCACCACCACCACCAGCAGCACCACCACAACCGCCTGGTAAGTTTTTGAGACTTTAAAAAAACTTATAAAGGGTATAAAAGTGTAATTTAATATACAATTTTATCATTGGTTTTTCAAATGACTGCAAGTTGGATGGTATTATATTTTTTTTGTGATTTGCATAGATACTAGCAACTTTTATATTATTTTCAATAAAAGTTTAATAATTTACTTTTATTATTATTTTTTTTTTAGCTGGAAATCGACGATAGTTAAATTTACCAACAAAGCTGCAGTATCCAAGATCTGTGCCACATTTTGAAAATACATATGCTAACTAATATGTGTATATTGTAAAATGTTCATCTTAGTTTATCATTTTTATGTTTCAACCTTAAATTTTTTTAATAACATTCCAAATAACATTTTTTGTTCTCTATCATATAAATTACATTATGTCTATTACATACACCTGTCTACCAATAAAAATAATATTCTCCGAATAAGAAAATTTGTTATTTATCATATAATCTATTCCGAATTCTGCTTCCTCCTCTTATTTAATTAATTTTAACTATTTACTGTTTATACTCTTGATTTGACCTTGATGCTTTGCCTGGTGGCAACCCGTAATGGACAAATTGTTTGTTATATAAATACATTTTCAGAAAAACAAAGTTTTATGTTGGATAGGGGTAGGAGATAGGAGATATTTTGTACGTTCAACATTTAAATTAAAACTAAATGACAAATTCAAAATAGTTTAAGGGCCCGAGTTCTCTATGAATTGTTTGAAGCCAGATATTAAACACTACGATATTAGCCAGAAACTTGATGTTTTAGGTAGGTTTTTAAACTTAACTGTTTCAGAGTAACCTATACATTTTACACCACTAGTGTGAAAAATATTACTCATATGTCATAAGTCACTTTGCTGCAAAACTAAATAAATAAGTTGCTAAAACGATAGTAAAAGTTTAGCTGTACTTTAAACTACATTTTAGAACCAAAAACCATAAATTGTGTGTCTTGTTTACACGTTTTATTCGTAACAATAGTACACAAAATGTACTTTATTCGGCCAAACATATTTAACAAACAATGAACACATTCACAATCACAATACATAAACCATTTGAATATGTACACTCCCATCGCCTACAAAAAAAGACAAACATATCTCTCTATAATTAATTGGAACTATTTATTTATTTCAAAAGTCAGTTAGTGTACCCGCTATAGTCTGAACATTTTAAGCCTATAATTTTTGATAGTAATATAATATTGATATTGTCTACAAAAAGTTTAGTCATGTACTTCTTGTAACTCTATTGTTGTTTATGGTAACATACAAGTTGACACCATTTACACTAGTCTACGTATGTAAAGGTGTTTTTAAATATGTATATTTTACCCAAAGTATTATTATTTACTCAATAATTGTCAAGAACAAATAAAGAAACAAAAAAACACGGTTACGCATAGACTACCTACAAAAGATATGCATATGAGCACCAAGAAAAAATATGTTTTAAAATTGTATTACAATTGGCCCAATTTAAAAAGAATAACATATCGTGTTGAATTTGACTGTTAAATTCATACTTACAAACTTTATCAATAATTATATTTTATAAGTTCACTATTAAGCAAAAATATTAAAAAACATAGTGCTTTTTTATCTTTTCTATTTTTTAGTTGATTTATGATTATTGATACAAAACTAAAGTATAAAACCATAATAACTTGATCCCTAATCGATATTTTTAAAACTAACATAGTAAATGGATTTTCTCCAAAATTCTTATTTTCCATGTCATAAAATAAGTCGAGAAAACGAATAAGCTCTATAAATATTGAATAGTATAGAAAATTGTGTTTACTAAAATTCATCCAATAACCTTTGATGCGGCTATTAATAATATTTTAAAAATAAAAGCTGTAGCGAGACGCGCAGCTGAAGTGAAATTTTTTTCGGATTTGTTTGGATTTGGTGGATTTATACATCCTAACTTACATACGAAATAGTTATACCTTGATGTTAAAATTATTATAGCGAACACCCATAAATGTCTAATCATTAATATCTCATATATTCAACTTGTATTGTTGGTTAAAATGTCTTTATTAATTAATATTGTTTCACCACTTAAGACATATAATTACATGCAGGACGAGGTAGAAATAAAAAAAAGAGGGCTAGAAAAAAAATCACTTCAAATATACATGATAAGCAATAGCCACATAGTTAAAGTTTACCTTGTAAAAACAATACATACCCAAATATATTATATTAAAAAATATGTATTCATAAAAATATACTTTTATTTTACACAATTTAAGTACGTAAGAAATGTGCTTTAGATCCCAAACCCCCCCCCCCCCCCGACTTTTATCATTTACATAAAATTAAAATTGAATTTTAAATTTTTGGTTAATATTTGTGTTGTTATAACTGTACGTTATTCGTATATAAAATACCATAATTTTCGCAATGACTGTTGCAATATAAACAAATGACAAATACATGTTGGTATTATACAGCTTAAGTTTTAACATAATTTGAGCAGCCATATTTTACATTAACATCTTTGATACATTTATTATAGCTTTTTGAGAAAACAAGTGCTTTTGGACGTACATTATGTTATATAAGATAATAAGGGAATCTGAACGTATAAACACAATGACGCTAAAATGTATTAACTAGATTATAATAATATAAGATGTCTAGTAACATACAAAATGTGAATCATAATTATTTTTATAATATAACTAGGGGGCATGATATTTTAGCTTTGTATTTCGAGTTATTTTGAGTATTGTACTGTGGTCAGTGGCTACAACACAGAATAGAATATTTAATATATCCAATAAAAAATCGGCACGTTAGACTAAATCCTTTTCAAACAGGGTTGTGTAAATTAATTGTTGAAAAATACTGTATATTATAACTTAAGAAAATAGTATTTGAAATACAATTTTAGATTAGATTTTATTTGTATTTTTTGTTTATTCGTGATTTGATATTACTATTTAAAAATTCATCTATAATTATTGTAAAATCAGAGTTCTACAAAGAAAGGAAATAATTAGTTCTAACATCAAAGTACACAAATAATAAAACGTAATGCTTCTAAAAACAACTTGTTTTATTAGCAGTTTTTGTAATGTAATGTTAAAACTTAAAACTGTAGGATACCTACAGTTCTTTGTCATTAATTTAGATGGCAACAGATGTTATAAAAATCAACATGTTTTTGATAAGAAAAAATAAAACTATACAAATACCTAGTTGTAAAATACTGTAGGTATATTATAATGTAAGAAAATAAATCGATGGCTTTTGTGTAAACATAAGATAGAAATCAAATTTATAACGTAAGTTAAATGCATAAACTATTAATGGTAAAATATATGAAGGCACTATAGTTATATGACTAAAGGTGTAAAGTAGCATCCATTGTATTAGTATGTTATGTGATAATATTATATCTGTATAAAATTAATTTTAATGAAAACTGGGATTCGACCAAAAAAAAAAATATACATTTTTCATAAAGAAATACTTTTCTGGGAGAAATAGTGGCATAGAACAGTTTAGAAATGTATTAACATTATTAATGTGATCTGGATTAGCTATATCAGAGTGAGGTTTGAATATTTCAGACAGATGTTGTCTGAACACTCAAAAGTTAATAAACACACACACACAATTATAATATTCGTAAAAAAAATGTAAAAAACAATAAGTACAAATTTACCTTCAGGAATGAACCACATATCTTGCCAATGATCCATTTTTTTAACCTTTTTGAGCATGTTTATTTGTTCCAATGTCGCTCTTGCAGACACTTCCATCGTGTAAATATGCTAAAACTAACGGAATTAAAAACTTTACGAATGCCTTATTTTCCATCTTTAATCTTGTAGATTTGAACAAAATTTGTAGACAATAGATATGTTCCTATTCTTACTAGAACGCTTCTAAGAGCCCACTAATTTAAATCTTGATAACAAAATTTACATTACAAAGCACGAAAGTAGCACAATTTAAAAAAGAATTTTTAGTTATTTTATTATTTCCATTTGAAAAAAATGACTGTATTTTGAAATATTTATTATTTATATAAACAACATCAAAAATGAATTTGAAATGATGCATTGAATAAGTATTAAAAAATATATATACCATATTAATATACCCAGGGTATATATACAATGATTCGAAAAAAGAAAATAACTTTTGTTCTAGTGAATATATTTAATTCTTACAACCTTATATTTGTAAGATCAATTTGACATTTAAAAATTTAGCCTCGAGCCCGCGCGCTAAAATATTTATCTTCACTGATTTATACCTACAGCCTGCCATCGCGGCCGCCGCAGTTATCACTTACTGTACAAGCAAACACATTCTTATCAAGTAGGTTGTATACAGAGTAGACTGTCAACATCATGGTGGATATATCATCTTTTTTTTAAAACTCTTAATATTATGTCGTGTGTTTACATATAAATAAAGTTTAAATTGCATAAAGTGTGTGATTAAAGATTTTATACCTGACGTTTTAGGTTTAAGGCTAGGAGCTCCGACCAAGGGTTTCGTAGCCGTATATCAGTAAGTCGTGAGTAACATTTTGGTTAATTATTATCATTTTATTTGTTCTAATGAATGGATTAGTTTTCTACATAGTATACAAGTTCGATAGTGATTTTTATTACGGTCTAAACGATTCATGCGTACAACAATTATAGACTCGTAGAGTGAGATTCGCTATCAACGGCTGTAGTTACGATAACTCTAGTCACTACAGCCATTCGCCACAGTAGATGCCACTTTTTTCTTATATAAATTGGCCTCATTAATAAAAAACACTTTTTCTTATGTTTGGTAAATTTGCACCCTAACTACTGAACTAATTAAGAAAAGTTTTGTGTGTTATTCAATTACTTGCATTTGATAACATGTACGACCAGAGTGAGCCATTCCAAATGGAGATATTTATTAAAATATGAGAATAAGTAATTCCAGAACCGCACAAAG